CTAAACCCTAAACCCTAAACCCTAAACCCTAAACCCTAAACCCTAAACCCTAAACCCTAACAAAAAAAAAAAAAACCCTAAACCCTAAACCCTAAACCCTAAACCCTAAACCCTAAACCCTACACATAGGGAGACATGTGTGTGGTTTAGGTGTGTTGAGTGCAAAGTAAGCAAAAATAGTGGCTGCACATAATGCATACACTTACCTTCTCAACCCCCAACCGGCTGTGTCACACTTGCCATTACTCTCAAACCCTACAGGGAAACGAAAGTTAAATTCACTCTTCTTTCCACTTTTGCCTACACCAAAGGAGCGTAACAACTGGATGTTGAGTGCAAAGTAATCAGAGATGCTGGCTGCAGATAATGCATACACTTACCTTCTCAACCCCCAACCGACTGTCTCACACTTGCCATCACTCTCAAACGCTACAGTGAAATGAAAGTTAAATTCACTCTTCTTTCCACTTTCGCCCACACAACAGAGCGCAACAAGTGGATGTTGGGTGGTAAGTAATAAATTATGCTGACTGCCTATAATGCGTATACCTACCTTGTCAACCCCCAAGCGGCTCCGCCAGAATTGCCATCACTCTCAAAACCACAGTGAAACGAAAGTCAACTCCACTCTTCTATCCACTTTTGCGTCTGTGTGTTTTGTGCGTACGGTGGGGGATATAGAGGTAAAACCGATAAGGTATCCTAGAACACGCTATCAACTCCTCCCGGTCGGTCGGTTTTTCATTGTCCTCCCCCCTCCCTCCGAAAAGCTGTCGGTTTCGGTGCAGATGTTCTTAGGTTCTTGATCAGCCCTATCGGTTTCGGTGCACACTTGCTGTAGGATGCGCTGTTGCTTGCGTGTGTGTGTGTCGGTTGTGTGAGAGACATGAGAGACGTATCAATGGTGATTTCCTTTACGATCGGTGTCTTGTCTGCAGTCCGTACAGTTGTTTCCAACTACCAGCCAATCACACACATACTCACAAACCAACAGCCAGACACACACGCAATCGAGCGCCGCAGAAACGTAGCGAGGCAGGGAGAGGGAGAGAGGGACAGAGGGAGAGAGGGACAGAGGGACAGAGAGAGGGAGTGAGGGAGAGAGGGAAGAGGGAGCGAGGGCGAGAGGGAGGCAATCGATAGCGAGACCATCTTCCCATGCCAGCCAAACGTCCAGCCGATCAACAAACTAACCAGCCTACGACCACACACATACAGACAAGCAGACAGGGGGGTAAACAAACGAGTGACGGATGCGCGATTAGCCATCAATCCAGTCTATCTGTCCGTCCGCTCCCTATTCATGGTTGGGGCCATCCGGCACATCAGCGACACAGCCCATCCCGACCCAGCCGACTGAGTCGATGATGCCGTAGTCCGAGCAGGACACCAGAGCGGTCAAGCTCTCACGAGGGCCAGCCATCACCGCCTGATACACTGTCCGTCTCGCCGCCGCCAAACGAACGCGCTCCACCCTGCACGTGCACAAAGAAAGTGAAAGGATGAATTTGTTGGGAGATTCGACGGCACTCACTTGCGCAGGAAGGCACGATACTCGATGACCTGCCTGCCGACCGATCCACTCTCGTTACCTGGTGCCTGTGCCTCGATCTGCTTCTCGGACGGGACCTTCACCGGATGCAGCTGCTCCCACTTGCCGTTGATCCTCCAGTCGACGTCGGTCTCGGTGGCATCGCCGTCGTCCTCCTTCTCAGTCACCTGGGGCTTGGCACGTCCCCTGCCCTTCTTGACCTTCTTCCCCTTCCTCATGAAGGTGGCCAGCACAAGGAACGGCTCCTGGGTCTCGCCAACATCCCGCACCTGGCCAGGTAATCGTCTGTCAGCCTCAGACAGCACCCACTAGGTTGGTGTGCAGAGCGAGCCGGTCGTCATCGGAGTACGGGGAGCTTCTCGGGTAACACGAAGCTGGCGAAGGTGGTCTCCAGCACGTGGGCAGGCTCGATGGTCTGCTGATGACAGACACACAGACAGACAGTCGGCTGAATATGTGCTGTCGTGTGTCACACATCCATCCCATCTCTATGTGTGTGTGTGTGTGTGTGGCTGTCTGCCTGCGCACCGCTGCGGTGTTCGAAGGCAGTCGGCGGTAAGTCACCTTGACGCCCTCAGCTGCAGCAGTGTCTGTCTGTCTGTCTGTCGTCATGCCGTACGGACCCACACTCACTCCGGACAGACAGACAGACAAACAGACAGACATCTGCAGCACAGCACAGAGAGCAGAGAAGCTGTCTTGCATCATGGCCATTCGATGCTCGAGGCGTCCCTCGCTCACTCACTGACCTGACTGACTCGCCACACGCGTGCGTCTGTGTCGCCGACCTCAGAAAGGAGAAAACACGCTGTTCGTATGCGTGACTCCGACGGGCTCCCTGCATCGATAACCATTATTGATCTGTCATAAATCATCACCGATCTGTCTGACTCAGTCATGAAATAGGCACACGGCGGTCTGACACACTCCCACTCCTCTAGTTTAGTGACTGTACACGGAGCGGCAATCCACCATACGACGGTCAGACATCATCATACGACAAACAGGCTCATGGCTGCAGCCTCAGATAGCACTTTTTCCTTCCTTTCTGGTCTGTGCGAGTGCTTCTTCGATCGGCTTCCTCATGGCCGGCGTGGCGTGCTGGCTCGCCTCTTCTGTGCACGCTCCGGCCCTGCAACGGCGTCAACGATGAGCCCTCGCTCCGAAACGACTGAAATGTCAGAGGATTTCAAAGAGAGGAAGAGAGATACTGTACGAGGCTCACCCACCAATCCAATATATGTGCTGTCTTCTTTTTGCCTTGCCTACCTCTCGCAGCCATGTCGTTGTCGCCTCCTCCTTCTCCCATCTCCTCGGATCAAGTATAGTATTATCTATATACGGGTGTCATCGCATTTCATCGCTCCATCGCGAGTGCAACGAGTGCAACGAGTGCAACCATGAATGCATCACCGGCAGCCTTCCTGTCTGCCGTGTGCCGTGTGTGTGTCTTGCTCACCTTACTCGACGGATGGATTCGTTGATTCTTATGGTGTGGGTATGGTGAGCGACGACATCTGCTCGTCGTCGATATGCTGCTGCTCATCCTGCTCCTCATATTGTCCTCCTCGTCAAATCCTCCGTCGTCCTCCTCGTCTCTCTCTAGTGCCGACGGCACAGCCGACCCATCCTTCATGTCAATGCACTCCACACCACCTGCGCACACACACACAGACGCACACACAGACAGACGTACAGACAGAGAGAGACACGAACGGGCATCTGATTCATCCATCTATCCATTGTGTATGCCCGTATGTCTACCTTGCTTGTTGCTGTGGATGGTGTGCCTGGCGTCCTCCTGCTGCTCAGTCTTTGTGACGCCTCTCTGGAGCATCTTAAGCAGCAGCAGCCTCGCTCCATCTGACGCTGGCCGGCCTCGAGGGCCGCCCAGCCTGCGGCGAGACGGTCGGCGCTGTTGTAGCGGACAGCAGGGGGCTGGGCGTCTCGCCCACATACACACGGAAACTTCTGCACGGACAAACAAGACAGAGAGAAAGAGTGTGTGTGTGGGAGTGGTGGGTGCCGTGGGGTGGGGTGTGTGTCCGCCTAAGTACACATATGGCATGTCGGGTGTGCGCATGAGGTGTGGGTATCTGTCCATGATCTTCTTGGCTACGGCGAGGATCTGCGGGTCAGTGGGCACGTCCATGGAGTCCATCAGCTCAGCCAACTGGTCTGGAACGAACAAAATATACAGAGAAGGCCATCCATCCATCCATCCAGCACATGTAGGTCTTCTCATTGTTTTGCGTCGCATGCGCGTGCCTGGTGTGATGTCCTCATAGTATTTGTCGCCGTATCTGTCCATGACGTCCTCCCACTTCGCCCCCAGCTCATCGCCCACGTGGATCAGGTACGTCGGATGCAGCTCAATCAACTGCATCAACATGCAGAGGCAACGGATTGACAGGGGCGCATGGGGTACTATTGTGTGTGTGTGTGTGTGTGTGTGTTTGTGGTGCATGGGGTCGGACCTTCTGCTGTGCGACGCAGTCGAGTATCCACTTCGGTCTGATGACATCCTTGCGGTGACACTTCACAAACAGCCGGGTCTCGCTGCTCTCCCTGATGGACACACAGCCGAGCGACACCCTCATCGGATGAGCCTTTCTTGTCTGCACGTGTGTGGCTGGCTGACCTCGGTGCGATGACGCGTGTGGTGGTCAGTGGTTTGTAGTGCATGGGCACCAGCTTGTTGGCGCCGTGCCCCACAACCAGCCGGCTCAGCTCCTCGCGGGTCACCAAATCATAAAATGCGTCGTCACGCGGTTGTGCAGGACGGAGTACAACACCTCACCGAAGTCACCAGCCATCTGTGTCGGTTGGGCGGCAAACAGCGGTGTGTATCATTGGCCCTGTCTGGTCTGTGGACGCCATTCCTTCACTGACCACAGGGTTTTCCTTCTGGTAGTCGGGATCCTTCCCCTTGAGCAGACGATCCTCATCTGCAACACACAGGAAGGAGCTAGCAGCACCATTCATCCATACATCCATCCGGCTCCCGACTGACCAGCGAGCGGGTGGCAGTGCCAGGACGCCGTCCGATGCGTAGACCTTGGCCATGCCGGCCTCCAGGATGCCGTACGCCCGCCTCTCGGGGTCGATGCTGGGCAGCAGCAGACGGAAGAACGGGTAGAGGTCGGCAGTGGGGTGGAACAGCTTGACGTAATCCTCAACCACACCGCTCAGCCAACACACTAACACACACACACACAGAGGGAGGGAGGGAGGGAGGGTGCAAGCAAACATGCGCGTCTGTGAGTGTGGTGTGTTCCATCCATCCATCCATCCAGGCAGCCAGCCCATTGCCGTCATGCGTGTGTACTCGAGATTCGATTTGCCCGGCGGCGGGTTCTCCGCTCTGCGACACACACACACAGACAGACAACACACCCGAACAAGCAACGCCATGCATCTCGCTCGTGGCATTCATCACACATCCCACGTACCGTTCAATTGACGACTTGGATGAATTCTTTGTCACTGCACGTCAGCCGCTTGCCGCCAGCGGACCACTGACCCATCATCATCACACTCTCACACACAACCACAAAAGCGATAGCGCGAAACAAAACAGAGGGGCGGAGGTGAGCAATTGATGGCAGATCATCGAACTCAATTCAATTCGTTTTCCTTTCATCTTGGATATCGCCAAGTTTGAGCTCGCCGATCGCAAGCCCTTTCCGGACGAAATGGGGCAGCTTTTGTCGCATTTCTCCCGCAAGGAGACGAAGGTGAGCATCCCCATCACCTCAAATCGCGTTGACTCATGCTTTACGCGTGTGCAGGTGAGTTCGTTCCATGATTTGGCTGAGGAGCTTGTGAAGGCCAAGCACGTGGTTGCTCTTACCGGTGCAGGCGTGTCGGCTCCATCAGGCATACCGACTTTCAGAGACCCGCGCGATGGCATCTGGCGCAGGTCAGTAGGAGGGACAACGAATGGTAGCATTGTGTGTGTGTGTCTGCATCACTCAGTCTGGTCTGTTCTGCCGTGTGTGTGTGTCTGCTTCATCCATCCATCGTGTCTGTCTGTCTGCCTGCAGGTACGACCCGTCCATTTGCGCCACGATATGGGGTTTTCGCAAACACCCAGACCAGCTGTGGCGGCTGCTGCTCGACTTCTGCAGAGAAGTGGACCCCAAGCCCAATCCGGCTCACAGGGCTCTGGCGATGCTGGAGCAGCTTGGGTGTATGCACGCCATCATCACACAGAACATCGACGGCCTGCACCAAGAGGCGGGTAGGGTGAGTCAACACAAAGAGGAGTGACGTGTGTCTGTCTCTTTGTCTGGCTGTGTGACGTTTCAGGCAGTTCCAAGGTGCTGGAGTTCCATGGCAATCTGATGAATTCCGTCTGCATGTCCTGCCGGGACAAGACACCTCTAAACAAGGACGTCATGACTAACCCTGCAACTGCGCCCACCGCCCTGCCCCCAAGGTGCACCAAATGCGACGGCATCCTCAAACCGGACGCAGTGCTGTTTGGCGAGGCAATCCCATCTTACGCTCTCTGGGAGTCGCGCAGAGAAGCGCAGAGATGTAAGCCGGCAGATCAGCTCAACCGATGAGCGTTTCACAGGTGCTGTATTCGCCTGTTTGCTGTGTGAATGCTTGCATGCAGGCGATTTGATGCTGGTGATAGGTACATCGGCGAATGTGTCGCCTGCGAGCGACCTGCCTCGACTGGCCATGGCCTCACAACCTCCTGCCAAGATCATTGAGATCAGCAAGACGGTAGGTCCACTCATTATTGTGTGTGTAGGACCTCCATGCTTTCGTCTTTCTCCCCTTGTTTTTCCTCTGCGGGCAGTCGACCCAGCTGACTCATCGTGTCAGCGACGTCATCATCAAGGCGGATTGTGTGGGCCTCTCGCACACAGTGGAGGCCGTCACACGACTCAAGGCGAGTTCGACAAGAAGCTGACTAAGTGTTTCTGTCTCGTGTTGGTGCTTCGAAAAATGACGACTGACTCTTCTGAGAATTGACTCTTGTGTATGGTCGAAGTATTTAAGATTGGGGAGATCGATTAAACGCCGGCGGCACAGTATCCGTGGCCGGAATGCACTCTCAGAATCTTCCATTCAAATGTGGCCACGACGTGAGTGTATGCACACATTGACGATTGAGTTGTGTCGAGTCGAGTCGTCGAGAAGCCAACGCAGTCATCCATCCATCCGTCTAAGCAACTCAACTCCCCTCTGCCCGTTCGTTCGTTCATGCTCACCTCCTGCTGGCTACACTCACTCCCTACCAACCTCCTCCCTGCCTCCCTCTCTGTCCGGATCTTGTCACTTGGCGGCACTCCGCCTCTCCCTCTGTGTGCCCGCCGCGGCTCCCGCAGCAGCTCCCGACAGCCGGGACGGCCTCGCGCTGGCTCTCGCAGTCCTCTCGGCTGCTGACGTCCTTCCCCCTACGCTAGCAGCCGCAGCACCAGCAGCAGCGGCCCCCTCCGCCCCTGGCACAGCCCCCGTGGCGGCCCCCCTGCTGCCCCTTTCTGTGCCCAGCCGCCTCTCCCGACGCTCCTCACGAGACGGTTCAGCAGGTTTCTCCACCGCAGCAGCTTCAGGGGAGGCGCCGCCTGCTGCCGCAGCAGTAGCTGCAGCTGGTGGCGACGCAGTGGGCGACGGTCCGCTGCTTGACGAGACTGCGATCGGCCGGGGAGGGATCATGCGGTCGCGGGGAGCCTTGGACGGCGCTTCGGGTGTTTCTGGTGCTGCTGGTTGGGGTGGTGGGGTGGTGGGGACAGGTGGGGATGAAGGTGTCGTTGCCCCTGCTGGTGGGCTGGCTGATGCGGCTGCTGCAGAGGTGTCAGTCGCTGCGGTCTCCTTCTTGTTCTTCTTGAGGTAGTGGGACTTGGGCAGCGTTTCACGCAAGATCTCTAGGTGCCGCTGCAGCTGAGCCTCGTGTTGCTGACATACCGACACAACGAAAGAGCAAAGAATGACACATGTGCACTTCCTCTCGATGTCCGTGTCTGTGGCGTTTAGGCTGCTTACGAATCCTGCCTCCTTTTCGACCGCGCTCCTCGACTGCGGTCCGTAGAGGACCCCTTCGTTGTCGAGTGTGAGGTTCTCGGGCACCTCCACCCCCACACCCACTGTGCAACCGTCACCTATCTTGACGCCCGGCTGGAGCACACCTGCATGGCATGGCATGGCATGGCATGGGATGGCACACACAAAGGCAGGCTTGGAGAAATCCAATCCATGGCCGTGTGTTTGGCTCCATCCATTTCCCACGGGTGGTCGCGTACATCGCGTTTCGAAGACGTTGCTGTTGCCGATGGAGCGCACCCCCGTCACCTCTGATCAAGGAAGGGAAAAGAACCAGATGAGATTGGCGCCATGGCTAATGAAGCGCACCGTTGCGTGGCGTGTGTGCGCAGAGCCTACTTGTGCCGACTTCGAAGATGTTTTTATCGCCGATGACCAAAACCTCAGGCGTCCTGACAGCCACACACAGACACACCGAACCGATAGATACACCGTTTCCCCTCGCTCCCTTCTGCCCTTATTTCTTTCTTACGTGTTGACGATCTCAACTTGCTCCTACACACAGACACGCACACACACATCCGGACGCACAGATAGCTAATGTCCCACTGTCTGTCTGTCATGATATCGCTGATATACCTCGAAGATGTTGTCAGCACCGATCCGGATGGGCCCGACCCTTGCGTCAACAAAACAGGTGGGGTGCACGACGCTGCCCGCACCCACAAACACCTGACGTCAGTGACGGATGAATCAATCAATCGCCATCAGCACAACAGACACGTCACATGCATCCAAGTTTGGCGAAGCCGCGGCATGAAAGTCGATGATAGTATTAAATACCTCGCCCTTGAGCGTTGCCTCCTGGCACACCAGGGCCCTCTCGTCCACCTCCCACAAATTGCGACTCATAACCAACACCACACGGGCGCAACAAACAGCGACGGGCTCGAACTCTCTCTTGATCCACTCGTCGGGCAGTGGCGTGGCGTGAAGGGGCTGCTCGCCAGCCCAGCCAGCTGCGTTTTGTTCTCGAGATTGTCTTGTTCTTGTGACTGCATGCACATATGCAGGCAGGCGGATATCACAGCGACGGGTGCTGCGTGGTGGGCGCGTACTGGAGTCCTTAAGGATGAGGGCGGGTGGGCCGCGCTGAGAGGATCCCAGTTGACGAGGAAACACGGGCTCTAAGCCGACCTCGTCGACAGACCTGAGCAACACATAGCAACCATCACAGTGCTCGTGGTGGAAAAGTCCCTGCGTGTGTCGTACCGTAGTCCAATTTGAGATAAAGCCCCAACCTGCACAGCCCCAAGGATGACTGATGACAGCAACTCGACGCCAGACAGGTACCTGGACCCCCTCGGGCCGTTAGAAAAGGGGAAAATTCGAAAGAAGCGAAAGGGCTGACGAATTTGAGCTCGCAATTGACAGCTCGCAATTGACTCGTCTTCTCTCCCCTGCATTCGAGGGAATCTGTGTGAGTCCTCATGGATCGAGATCGCTCGCCATCTCGCTCACTGGAGCGCGACAGAGGCAGGAGTCGGCGTGATCACCGAGATGACTATGACAGACACAGGCACCGCGACAGGCGAGACGATGATGTAGACGACCGCCGCCGACGCGAGAGGAGCCGCTCGCCGCCTTCCAAGCACAGGCGGCGTCGCTCTCGGTCAAAATCTGCCTCAGAGGACAGCCTCGGCCGCAACGAGCGAAGGCGTGTGCGTGACCGGTCTCCCTCTCCCCCTCCCTCCCACTCCCACCATCACCGCAGCGGCCACGGCCATGCTCACGAGGAGGGCGGCAAGAAGATGGGTCCCAAGGCCTTGGCTAAGCACCGCCGGCAGATGCTCGAGGCGAAGTTCGGCTACACCAACGAGAGCAACCCGTTTGGCGACTCGACCATCGCCGAGCCGTTTGTGTGGAAGAAGAAGAACGAGGTGCAGAAGGCCGCCAAGCAGTACGTCCCACCCGACAGCAGCACACTCAAGCGCAGGATTGAGGAAAAGGCCATCGAGATCGAAGGTACGTACGTCACGCCAGTCAGACCCCTCACCCACCCCACCAGCACACACGCACACACGTGCCGTTCGCTGTGTGTGTGGGGGTGGTGGTGCATGCAGCTGTCAAGAAGCGTCGTGAGGAGCGTGAGAAGGAGGAGGCCGAGTTGGAGGAGCACCGGCTGCAGCAGGCCAGGGAGAAGGAGCAGGAGAACTACGCCGAGTGGGCCAAGAAGGAGGAGCAGTTCCACCTCGAGCAGGCCAAGATGCGGTCAGACATCCGCATACACCAGGGGAGGGAGAAACCCATCGACATGATCGCAAAGGCACTCAGAATCATGGAGGGTAGGTACATACCTCCACAATCGCCTCCCTCTCTCCCCCCGTCACACATCATTGCTTTCGCTCTCTTGCCTGTGTCGACGTGTGTGTGTGTGTGTGCAGGTCAGGTGTTTGACGACATGTCGTTGCTGGAGCTGACGCCGCCCCAGGTGTTCGAGGGCATGTCCGTTGACGAGCTCGACGAGATGCTTGACGACATCCACACACACGTCGTCAGCGACACACAGCACAGGCCCTTCTGGAAGAACCTGCTCATCGTCGCAAAAGACGCACTCGACCAGGCCAGGCGCAAGAGCAATGAGGGCATGGGTGTGGGTGTGGTGAGGCGGGATGCCACTTCGGGCATTCCGCAGAGCGTCAAGGCCGAGATCGACGCCTTCCTGGCGGGCCAGTCGGCTGAACAACTCGACGAAATGGAGAAAGAGGTGAACGAGATGACCCCTCACCCATCCACACCAGATGGGACCCAATGTGTGTGTGGCCACTTATGTGTGTCAGGTGAATCGCAAGTTGGATCACGGCGGCGAGGCGGTGGACTCGGCCTACTGGGAGGCCATCCAGACGCAGCTGCCGCTCTTCAGGGCCAAGGCGGACGTCCTCCGCCAGTACTCAAAGGCAATCGCACGGGCAAGAGAGGTCAAGGACCAGCAGCTCGACCAGCACCATAGAGACACCGCACTCAAAATGGACCTCGCTGGTACAAACACACACACAAGCACACACGCACCACAACCAGTGACATCTGTCGACCTGCTGGGATCCGTCTATGTGTCAGGTTTGTTGAACATCCCCGATGCTGAGGCCGGCCCAGGAGCAGCGTCAGGTCCAGGAGCAGCGTCAGGTGACGACAAGACGCCCCAGCAGAAGGAGGACACCCGCCGGCCTGAGGACTTTATCGGCACGGGCGTCAACCCCAACTACGACGGGCGATACTCCCCCGAGCTCGAGCCATACGACAAGGACGACGCACCCCCACCCCTCCCCGCACCAGCCCCGGAACCCGCGCCCGCTGCTGCTGCTGCTGCATCTGCCGGTGTTGAGGATGTGGTTGCAGAGGAGAGGGAGGTCGGTCCCGGGCCACACAGCCCTCGTGTCAGGCCGATGGATGAAGTCAAGGGGGTAAGTATGGCAGACAGATAGATAGACGGCCACGCCACCCCGCACCCTCACACACTCTCACCACGCCCTGCCTCTTTCGCCCTGTCGTGTGTGTGTGTGTGTGTGTGCAGCTTGGTGTGAAGATTCTGGAGCCGTCTCAGGAGTACCAGCAGCGCATGAAGCTGCGTCAGGCCCTCATCGAGCAGCAGAAGGCCAGGCGGGCCGTCCGCCTGGCCGCCGCAGCAGTGGAGGCCCGGCGGGAGTCTCACGAGGGCAGGGGCGACGCCGCCGACCTGGGCGTCAAGAAGTTTTCGTTTGACGACTTTGTGAGCAAGGAGCGGAAGACCATGGCCAGCGACGAGCAGGTCATGGAGCCCGAGACCGAGCACGCACTCAGACAGCAGCAGTACGACTGGGAAGACAAATACAGGTGGGGACGGTGGTCCACACAGACAGACAGACAGACAGAGAGACTGAGGGAGGGAGGGAGGGAGGGAGGGGGAGACAAGACAGACGCACACGCACGCCCGGGTCATCGGTGTGTGTGTGTGTATCCAGGCCGCGTAAGCCTCGTTTTTTCAACCGCGTCAAGACAGGCTACGAGTGGAACAAGTACAACCAGACGCACTACGACCACGACAACCCGCCGCCCAAGATGGTACAGGGCTACAAGGTACAGAACACACAAAGACCAAACACACACACACACGACATACAGCCATCTGCATCGCTCTTTCTTGTAGTTTAACCTCTTCTACCCCGACCTGCTCGACTCCACCAAGGCGCCCACGTACGCCCTGGAGCCCTCCGACACGCCCGAGACGTGCATCATCCGCTTCCACGCCGGGCCGCCCTACGAGGACGTGGCCTTCAAGATTTTGAACCGGGAGTGGGAGCTGCAGAACAAGAAGGGCTTTAGGTGCGTGTTCGACCGGGGCATCCTCCAGCTGTACTTCAACTTCAAGAGATACAGATACAGACGATAGACACTCACACACAGACAGGCGGACAGGCGGGCACACAAGAGGGAGGGGAGTGGGGGTCTTTTTCTGGTTGCTTTGGAGGGGCATGTGGTGTGGGGGTTGGCTAGTGCCTCCAGACACACAGAGAAAAGACACCAGACACCGTGTGTGGACGTACATACATGTCAATGGATCATGCTCGTGGGTGTGACGACACCATTCGTGTGTGTCGCGCATGAAGACTTTGATTGGCTACAAGAGGGTCCGACGCATTAGTCGATCAAGTAGAGACCTCACCTCATTCACACACTCACTCGAGACGGACACACAGCAGCCAGCTGCACTCACTATACATCCAAACAAATGCAAATATGCAATCAGGACACAGCAGCGCACACAAACCGGTCGATGAAAAGGCCCCATAAAGTGGGCAGCCAGCCTCATCGTAAGGACGAGTAGCAACACAGACAGCCAAGGAGATAGAAAGACAGCCATCCGTCCAGCTGTCATCGGACAGCAGCACAGAAAGGCAAGGCAGCCAGCACTCACACAGGCAGGCAAGCAGCAAGGCAGGCAGGCAGGAGGGCGATAGCCCCAGCCCCGGGAAATGGAAAACTGTCAGAGGCTCGCTGGGGACGGTTTAGCAGGCCATCATGCACACGCACCGCACTGACTATCAAAGACTTCCCCTCCCTCCCCCTTGTACGTATCCCTTGTACGTATCCCCCTCCCTCAGCAGCCTCTTCGGGCGAGCCATTTTAGACACCCCATTCCCCACCCTTCCCCACCCTCCCCCCATTCACTAGACACACAGTCCAAACATGTCATACTGTAGCAAGCGCACAGCCATCCCGATCCATCTTTGCTCAGTCCGTTATCGAGTCGGCTGGAGGCGGTGTGGTGGCCTCAGCGTCCGGCGACTCGTCTCGCACTGTCCTGCTCGTGTTGACCTTGTCGCGACGGTCATCAGGGTCAGGGTCGGGGGGTGGGACGGGAAAGACGGGGTTGCAGCCGCCAGCTGGGCAAGCTGGACACACGACAGACAGAAGAGAAAGACACAGGAAGACACACAACACACGACAGACAGACAAGAAGAACAAGGCCACGTAGGCGATATGGGTCACATGATCCCGTGTTGCGTGGGATGTTTGCTCACAGCACTGGCCGGCGAGAAGGCCGTTGCCTGAGCACCTAGTACAGGGTTCCTCGCAATCGGCGATGCTGTTGCAACCACCAAGGGGGGTTAGGCAGGTCCCTCTCCTCCCTGCGGCCGAGAGAAAAGAGCCAGGAAGAGTTGGATCACACCACAACAGCCCACCCGGCCACCTGGGCTCCTCACCTTGGTTGCACCTCTCGCACCTGAGAGCCGGCACTAGGCAACTGTCGCCCTGCACGCACAGGCCCATCTCGGGCAGAATGGTCTTACACAACGCAGACCCCACCGCGCACCGACACGCCTCTGCAACCAACGAATGAATCCAAAGCCAGCGATGGCGTGTGTTTGTGTGTGTGCAAAGAGATGCCCACCTGCCGTCGGTTCACACTCTGCTGCTCGAGTGCCATTTTGGCTTACTGTTCCCTGGGGCTTGGGCCTCTTGAGGTTGCTGTCCTGTGCGAGGGAGGGGCCGACCAGCAGGATGGCCGCCGTCGCAGCAACAAAGGAAGAGAGGGACATCCTCCTCCCCCCTAGGCAGTGTTATAATTTCGGTTCGAGACTTTTTGAGCGTTGACAAACGGGCATTCAAAGCGGAGAGGCCGCCGGCCTTGATAGCTTCATCTTGCACCGTCTCGCGACCGCGAGCAGCACAAATGAAGCTCGGCCTGAGGCTGGCAGCAAGCGCCCACTTGCTGCTGGCCTTGACAGTGTTTGCTGCTGTTGCCGATGCTCAGACTGAGAGGGATACGGCCTGCACAGAGTCGGATGCGGCGTGCGAGTGCGAGTCGGGCATACTCTGCTCTGGTGAGAGCCACAGAACAAAGGCCATGGACGCCCCCAGGGTCAGTCATCTCTCTCTCTCTGTGTGTGTGTGTGTGTGTGCGTGTGTGTGTGCGTGTGTGTGTATCAGGCGTGAGCAACTACTGCCTGACCCACCCCGAGGCCAATTGCATTGCGAGCACGTGCTCAATATGCCCAGGTGAGCAACGGAGGACGCAGCAGTCCCGGGGCCCTCAAGAATGCGTCTGTGTTGTGTATTGTGTGCAGAGCCTGTCGACGACCAGACAGAAGCTGACATTCAGGATGTTGGCGACCCCCAAGTCACCGACACCTGCGGGCATCCCCCTTGCTCTATGGACAAGGAGGTGTGTCCTGAGCCGCCATGCTCCACAGCCATCGACGATATTCCAGCACAAGCACCAGCCCCCGGGCCTGCTGACGACATCATTGTCAACATCACGTTTATCCACCCGACAGTCACCGACGTGTGTGGCTCCCCCCCGTGCAGAGAGCCGGATGGCACTGGCGGGGAGGATCCTCCTCCCTGTGACAACCCCCCCTGCTCTATGGGGACTGAGGACGGAGACGATGGGGGCGTGAAGGCGAGTACGGAACTGCCGCCACCTGACCCGACCGTGACAGGTAGGTCAGCTACGGGTGGACGACAGCATACATGGTGATGTTGTGTTGGCCTGCCTTGTGTGCTGTGCAGAGCCGTGCGATCCCCTCCCTGTAAAGAGCCAGGCAGTCTCCACGGCCCAGAAGAAGAAGAGGAGACAGCGGTGGAAGTGCCCATGTCATCAGCGCGGCAGCAGCAGCAGGGGACGGAGCAGATCATTATCAGGCCAGTTGATGATGACGATGACGACGATGATGATGATGACGACGACACCATCAGTCTGCCGATCGTTGTGAATGACACGCAGCCCATTAATGGGACGGCCCCTGGCAACGACACTCTGCCCATCAACGATACTTCCCCAGGAAACGCCACGCTTCCCATCAATGGCACCCAGCCCATCAACGGCACAGAGCCCATCAATGGCACCTCCCCAGTTAACGACACGCTGCCGGTCGTCAAGCCGCCTGTGCCGATCGTGGTGCCCATCAAGCCGCCCGTCTCCCCGACACCTCGATGCGTCCCCACGGGCGGCACATGCCGGTTTATGTCCGACTGCTGCACAAATGGTTGTCGCTTCATACTGACCGGCGGAGTGACCGGACTCAGATGCGGTAAGTGGCAACAAGACAGAGACACGAGCCAACAACAGAACCCGACTATGCTGTGTGTATCGCTGCGCTCATCCAGTTGGCTTCAACCCCGCCCCTGGTGATGATAGTCGCATCATCACGCCCATCATTGGAGGCCAAGACGACAACTCACGGCGGGTTATCGGAGGTGGCGGCCGCGTCAGGCCGCCCAGAGATGGATTCGACATCATCCGAGGCGGAGGCTTCGGGGGCAGTCGGGGCGGCAGGAACATCGTCGGCCGCACATCGCCTTTCGGCGGCCCTGGGGGCGACAGGCGGCGAAAGAGACAGCTGCTGAGAGATGAAGAAGAGGGAGCGAAGAGCAGAGGCGACGTGTGTGAGGTGCCGGCAAAGGGTGACTGTCGGCAGGTGTTGCCGAGTGAGGGCAGGAACTACACTGTGGTGGACGAGGTGGGATGCCCGGAGAGGCTGGGGTGTGTTGACAGCTACTGCTGCCGATATGTGATCGACCCTTTTGAGATGCGGGTTTTGGCGCGGCAGGACTCATGACACGATCGTCTTGAGTACACACCAGCCGTTGCTTTGTTCGTACAGGCGTCGTGTCGTTGACACGATGGCTCGATCGGGCACAGAGTGTACATGGAAGGATGCGTGGATCTATATGTGTCTTTCTTTGTATGACCCTGGGTCCGTCGATGGATGGATGGTTTTTGAGGGACCTAGACGAGAAGTCTTTGGACAGTCACATAGACACACATACGGAGAGAGAAGGAACCGGGTAGTAGGGGATGGTACACACGTAGAGGTTGTGCTTTTCTGACTCGACCTTTTCCGTTGTCGACCTGTCAGTGAGTGCATGCCTGGGATTGGTGCATGCTTAGTGGCTGCGTGCCTTCAGTGGATGGCATCGATCATGGAGGGAAACGTAGCCTGCAGATGTTCATACGGATATACGGCCTGTAGGTAGCATTTAGTGTGCGCCTTCTGATTCGTTGTGTGCCTTGTGTCTTGTGTCCGTGCCATGTATTTAAATGGATGCCCTGCTTGCTTGTCTCTCGTCCACCTGAGAAAAGATAGCCGTGTCGGCGTGCGGAGACACACTACACTCACAGACAGAGATGTTTGGCGTTGACGCGTTAGATCGGGCGTTCATGATCGATTGTACATAGGTACATACATTTCACATACATGTGAATGTGATCGATCGATCGATCGTTTAAACGACAGACAAACTCGTGAGTCAAACGAGCCGAGCACAGCAAGCAAAGCACAACTGGAGACACGATTGATTGATTCGATTGATTGCCCTGACTTCTGAGTCACGATGTCCGCCTGTACCGTGTCAGTGAGACTCAGTGCGCTCCGTGACGAGTGCGTGGCCTGGCTCGAGGAGAAGACGAAGAAACCCATGTCTCTGCTCGCACTCTACCAGTTTACTGTCATCATCTACTATGTGTGCACGGTATGCAGACATACAGAGAGAGACAAGCAAACAAACAAACAGCATGATCAGCATGAGTGTGTGTGCTTGTGTCTGTCGTGCAGGGTGTGATGCCTCTGGCTGGCTGGTCTGTACCTCTGCTGGCGTTCACGGTTTTCCGCGCTCACAATCGCGTCACCTCCTTCAGTTCCACATGGGTGGCGTGATGCCTCCGGCGTGGTACCGTATTGAGCAAACGTCGTTGGATGCAAAGGAAGCATGTGATGGTATGATGGTTTGGCAGGTTGGCTGTGATCGGATATCTGGTCCTGCTCGTGGCCGCTCCCGTCGCGCTCATCATCAGCCTCGACATCCGTAGGAAGTAGATGGAGAAGGAATGTGTGTGTGTGAAGGAGAAGCCTGCATGTGTCTATGCGTCTGTCTGCTTGCAGGCGGTCTGTTGCTTGTGGTCAAGTGTCTCGCGTCGATCGCCATAAACTCGCTGCTCATCCTCCTGTGTGGCTGCATCAATCTCAACTACGACGCACAGACCGACATGAAGACCAAATGGCACCACGGTCGATCAATACAAAGCACACACATGGACCACTCAATCATCTGTGGTGTGTCGTGTCTGTCATGTATGCGTATGTCTTTCTCATCAGCTTTCTCGCCCAGCCACGACGTACATCGCGTCGACGATCGCTCCCTCCTCGGCTCCTACAAGCCGCCCGTCTACCAAGCCGCCCCTGCTGATGGCGATACAAGTGTGCCTCAGCCCTTGGAGGAACCAGAGAGCGATGACTCAGCCGTGATGGTGTGAAGACCAAGCGGGAACAGTCAGACGGACTGACATACAGACAGACAGACAGACATACGTGTGTGTGAGGGACAATTGATGCATTGACGTGAATGCTATCGATCGCAAGGTCATCATGCGGTCCTACCAATTGTCCATTCATAGTCAGGCAGACACGCAACTAGTGGCCGCCAGCATCCCTTTCAGTTTCATAGGCATGCAGGTTGACGGAACATTCATCCGTCCTCTCCACAAATACACGCACGACAAATTCACGACCATGATGGATAGAGAAGCATTCCACCACAGAACCACCATAGCCATCTAATACAAACATACATGCAGACAGTCGACAACAGCGAGCGGCCCACCACTCTATTCGAAACGCGGTCATTGTGTTGAAGACTCCTCGGAGAAAGGGAGAGTGCAATCGCCGTCTTCAGCACACACAGCGACCTCCTGCAGAGACAACAAAAAGGGAAACAAACTGCTTGCCGAGCATTCATCTCGTCTTCCATCCTTACCGACTCAACCTCCTTTAACCAAACATGGACGAGGGCTTCGAAAAGGGCGCACGGCGGGTGATCTCTGGGTGTCTGCTGAGAAGGTGGTCCAGGAGGGAGCCTTGCAAGCCCGATTGAAGCCGCCTGCCGCCCCCAGGCGGACCAAAACGCGATGTGCGGCCGACAATGTCTCTGCCGCTACGCACGCCACGCCCTCCCCGGATGACGTCGAATCCATCCATCGCCAACCTCGTGACCTCGTCACGATCTCCGATAAGCCTCTGGAGCTGGTCTGCCACAGTGTCCTGCGACTGGCAGATTGATCCGCACAGGGCCAGCAGGAGGGCCAGCAAAGCGACACCCAAACGCGCCATCGTGATCGGGGGGAAACAGTAGAAATGGGAATCAACGATTTTCGCCCGTACAGGTGATGTAAATTGACCGGAACTGAAGGGCACAGGGAGGGGGCAGGAGTATGGTGCATGATTGCGGCAGGGGAGGGGAGTATGGTGCATGATTGCGGCAGGGGGGGGGAGAGGGAACACCGATCGAAAGGGAGAGGGAACACCGATTGTCTCTCTGTGTCTGTGTTGATAGTGAGTTTGTCCGAAGCAACGACCCTGTACAGCGCTGAGGTCCTCTCAGTCCAAGCAAATGGCTCACGCCCCGCCCAAGCGCCCTAGACCAGCCCCCTCCCTATCAACAGCCCCACACAGTGACAAATGCGGCTGTACACATCCATCCCACACGAAGCAGAAATCTCTCTGCGAAAGCAAGCAAGCAAGGCAGCCGAAAAATCAATATGCACACACTATCAGCTCCTTATGATCTACATGGCGGATCGATCGATGGCCGACGACAGGCAGACAGACAGACAGACAGACAAGGGCAGAGAGAGACTCAGCATCGGCACAGCCCGTGCGCCTTCATGACGCGGCGAGCCACCGTCGCCACACCCTGACACACACAACTCACGTATGTGTCAACGCTCATGTTGCCGGTGCGGATATCTGCGCACCTTAGAGCTCTTCTTCTCGATGCTTTCGATAGCTACGACTGGGGTGGCCAGGAGGTGGGCGGCGTATGCCGCCGCCCCGCCGCAGAGGGCCATGACCCCGCCCAAGAGATACGGCCAGGTGGGCCCTAGCTTGTCGTACAGCACCCCCGCACACATGTACCCGAGAATGAGGGCACACGCACGGGATGAATTCAGGATACCTGCATGAACATGAACAACAAGACCATGACGCGTCTGTCGGCCATCCATCCATCCCCATCTCTCTCTGACCTTGCGCCCATCCCTGATGAGCTTCCGTGGAGTATAGCGACACGAGATTGGCGAACCCGGGCAGCAGGATGGCCACGCCCACAGAGAAGGCCAGCACGGCCATCAGGTGGGCCTGGAAGCCCAGGGCTGCTGCCAGGGGCGGCTCGAGCGCCAGGCCGAAGCCGAGTAGGGTGGCGCCGATGACTACGAGGCCGTGAGGGCCGGCGATGTGCATCAGATGGGTGAGAACACACAGCTGCACAAAGAGGGAGAGGGCGAGACGGACACACATGGGCAAGGGTCTGTGTGTGTGTGTGTGTGTGTGTGTGCGTGTGCGTGTGCAGCGCACCTGTGTCATAGCTCCTACAACGCCTCCGAAGAATAATATAAGGCCTAGCTCAATATCTCCAAACCCGAAGGAGTCCCGCAGAAGCGCCGGGTAAGTGGCAGGCATCACAGCGAAACACAGCATGGTCAGGAGCTTCCCCAGGCAGCACAGGGACACCCCCACGCAGCTGATGCCCTCCCAGGCACCCCTCCCGCCACACAGAGGGATGGCCGCCTCTGCATCGTCATATGGTGCCAATGTCTTATTGCTATTGTTGTTATAGAGCGACTGCTGGCGCCTTCTCCGCTCCTGTGGGTGGGATTCGACAAAGAACCAGTAGCCGATGAGGAACGCCGTGAGCCCGAAGCCACCGGATGCGGCGAGAATGAGCCGTCTGTTGAGGCCGAGGTATGCTTCGAGCAGCGCCGCGGCCGCGGGGCCGATGATGGTGGCGAGGCCGACTGAAGCACCGACCAGGGCAAGCATGCTCGCACGGTCAGTGGCAACAGACATGTCACACGTGATCGCTGCACACACACCCCCACAGAACACCATCAGACCGCAGACACAACGCAGCTGGCCCACCTCTCTCCCATCTCACTCACCTTGCATGAAGGGTATGGATCCGCCCGAGATGCCCGCCAGACCCCGAGCGGCGATCAGCCAATTGATAGAAGGGGCAAGGCTGGTCAGCAGCCATCCACAGCCCGCAATAACGAACGCATTGAGAATGAGCGGCTTGCGCCCGATGGCGTCCGAGAGTGCGCCGAACACGCCTGCACCGACCGCCTGGCTGAGAGAGAAGAAGCCGGCCATCATCCCCAGGTGAGTCGCCTTGCCACCCAGATCTTGAAGCGCGAAGTACGGGAGAACTGGGAAGGATAGCCCCGCCCCGATGAGCTCGAGGCAAAATCCGGCAGTGATAACGGACCAGCCGCGGACGCGTTTGAGGTCGGACTTATCATCATCGCCTTCTGCCGCATAGCCTCCTGCCTTGTCTACCATGCCGGCAGGTACTTTCGGCATCGCTGCCTCGCAATCGGTGGATGGGCGAACAGCAGGAAGCCTGCGTGCACCAGGCCTCCTCCCGCCTTTTTCTCCCTCCCCTTCAATCGCGAGCTTGTATGTTGTGCAAGCTCGCCTTTTGAGTAACCCCGTGATTGAACCTCGGCGTTGATCGCAGCTGGCTACCTGACCCGTCAAGAACGAGATCTCAGCGTTCCGACAACCGAAGCAAACGGCATCTGTCGAGGCATTCGAGCAGCTGTGGCGGATGTTTCGTCCACTCTCGCCCATCCACACCCCTCCCTGCATGCTGAACCGAGCCCAGTGAAGCTGTGGCAAAGTCAGCATGGCGCTGGTGATGGCTCTTCTGGCGTTTGCCTCACTCCTTCCTTTGGTTTTCGCTATTCACGGCCTCCAGAGGCGGCAGACATGGCAAGGGTCAATGGTTCCTTTTCGAGAAGCGCTGTTCATCCATTCGGCGCGCTTTGGTGGCTTTGGTGGCCGGCGAATGGAGATCTTGCTGCCTGTGCGTGGGCGTGGCTATCGAGGATCTGTTCCTGCTTCAAGGAGGCATCGGCACTCTCTTTTGCCGCTTCTTTCATCGGCTGCCAAGGGTTCTGAAGGAGCTGAGGAAGGCAGCAGTGAGGCTGGCGGGTCGTCATCCGAGCCAGCACCATCACCGTCAAGTAGTGGTGACAAGACGGCAGCCAATGCGCAGCAGCAACAACCACCATCGCCAGCAGCAGCAGCAGCAGCAGCAGCAGCAGAGGCATCAGCCAAGCCTCCCTCTCCCTCTCCCCCTCCTCCAGCCCCCTCTCCCGCCCCCTCCCCAATCAACTCGTGGGCCAAGCCACTGCGTCGGGTCTTCCAAATGGAGAGGAGGAACGACGAGGCCTTCGCCTTCGACCCCGAGTACCTCAGCCCAGACGACCCCACTGTCTTCACGCGCGACACCACCGAAGAAATGCGGTCCAAGCTATACGCCGTGTCCGCCCTCGGCACGGGGGCGGGCATGCTCATCGCGCTTGCGAGCGGCGGGGATATGCCGTTGCTGGCCTTCTCGACGGGCGCGTTGGCGACGATTGAGGCAACCCGGAACACGGCTGCTGGGGGGAAGCTGCGGGAGGTGGCGGGGGCGGTGATGGACATGCTGACGTCGACTAAGAAGTTTGGCGAGGAGCAGGGGATCAACCAGGCGCTGGCCAGCGCCACGAAGACGACGCTTGACAAGATCGATGAGTTTTTTGACAAGAACGACGTCAACACTACTCGTGCGAAGGAGCTGCTGAGTGAGTTGACACACACACACACACACACACACACAGAGAGAGAGAGAGAGACTGCCGGTCTGTGTCTGCAATGATTGCAGATCAGACGGACAATCTGCAGACGTTCCTGCTGAACCCCACCAACCAGATGTTCACCACCCTGGCCGAGGCGGCCACTCAGCGCGTGCAGCCCACCAACCTCAACAGGTACTACCGCAGCTCGCTGCCGCCCTTCTACGAGCGGGAGACCATCCTACGATCAATAGGCGACGGCCTCTACTTCCTCGAGCAGCCGCTGCTGGCGGCCGGGGTCAATGCTGGACTGAGATCGGTCGTTGTCAGGCTGGAAGGTCAGCTGATGGATGGATGGGCGGGTGAATGGATGGATGCACATGTGTGGGTGTGGTGTTGTGTGTGTGCAGGTAGCGGTGACCTGTTGGTGATCAACCCAGTGGCGCCCACGCGGGAGTGCATGCGGCTGCTCAACAGCCTGGGCGGCAAGGTTGCCGGCATTGTGGTGGCCAACACCGCCCCCGAGCACCAGATCTACGTCAAGACCTTCGCCGACAGATACCCCGACGCACCGGTGTATGCAGCGCGGCCTCCAGACCAAGACAACACCTACCGCATCAACGAGATCCTCTCCGACGAGGTGCCCTCCACGTGGCGGCGGACGCTCGAGCAGGCCGTGCTGGATGGGGGGTCGACCTACAGGGAGGTGGTGTTCTTCCACAAGCGGTCCAAGTCCCTCATTGTGACGGACTTCTGCGCCACCATCAATGAGGACTTCATCTCACAGCAGCCCTTCCTCGACAAACTCGCCACACGCACCGTTGCGCGAGCAATCGGTGAGCACCCCAGAACCACCCATTCATCGACCCACCTCTGTGTGTGTGTGGTGGTGCTGCCTGCAGGCATCTATGAGCGTGTTGGTCTGCTAGTTGAGGGGGTGCTCAACCGATACCGAGCGAGGAACCAGGTGTTCCTGCAGCGCGTCTGCAGCTGGGAGGTCACGTGCATCGTCGCCTCTCACGGCTCTTCGCCCATCGAGGGCGGGCCCGTCTGGGAGACCCTTCTCGGGCTATTCAGGCGGCTGCAGGACACCACTGGCATCGACGAAGAGGCCCAGAATGCGACGACTGTTGCTGTGGCTGCTGAGAAACCACCAACAGCACCAGCAACACCTGCACCTGCTGCCAAGGCGCCCCCAGCCGCCCCGTCTATCGTCCCTCAGGCGGCCCCCCTCCCCCAGCCACAGATGCGGCCGTCGCTTCCTGAGCGGGAGGCGGTGCTGCAGAGCATTGAGGCCAGGAAACAAGAGCTCGAGACCAAGATCATGACGGCCACAACCACTCCCAGCACGCCAGCCAAGCAGACCTACAGGCTGCCCCCTCCATCTCCCTCCCCCTCTCTCTCCTCTGCTGCGTCTGTTGCGCCGTCTGGCGATCTGGCGTTGGAGAAGGCCAAGCGGCGGATCGAGGCTGAGCTCAACACGAGCCTGAAGGAGGTCGAGGAGCGGGGGACGGTGGTTGAGTCGAGCCTCAAGCAGGCAATACAGGCTCTTGAGGCGTCGAGGAAAGCCAACGAGTAAGCACGAGCACACCCACTCCCCACACAGAGAGAGAACAATGTGTCCCTCCCATATGTCCCTCTCCCCCTCTCTCCCTCTGTGTGTGTCAGGATGAAGATCTCCCAGTCCCTCCGGGCCACGCAGACCTTCAAGGAGGTGCAGCGCATCAACACCATGCGCGAGGCGGAGCTCAAGTCACAGATGACCGCCCTCCAGTCAGCCAAGCAGCAGCAGGAGGAATCGCTCAAGGCGGAGCTTGTGGAGTTCCGGGAGACGAGTGCCGCCAAGGAGGCCGACTTGCGGCAGAGTCTGTCGGCGCTGGAGACGGAGAAGACGGAGAGGGAGAGGAAGCTCACTGGCCAGCTGCAGGAGATCCAGAGGGTGCGCTTGATCCCTGTGGGTGGGTTAGTGGGGGCTGCCTCCATGCATTCGTCGTTGTGTGTGTGTGTGTGTGTGTGTTTGTGGTGCCCTCACATGTCCGTGTGTGATTGGTGTGTATGGGTGCAGGTGTCTGTAGAGAGGGAGGCCGACCTGCGGAAGAAGCTGGCCAACATCGAGGACGAGAAACAGAAGAAGGAGGAGGAATTCGCCACATACCTCAAGTCATTCCAAGAGGTACCCACTCACCCTACCTCGCAAACCCCCCTCTTTCCCCCACACACACTCACACACACACTCTTTCTGTCCCCTCTCTCTCTCTGTCTGCAGGCGAGCTCTGCGCGCGAAGAGAGTCTGCAGAAAGCCCTCCAAGACCTCGAGTCATCCAAGTCCCGCAACGAAGAGCGCCTCAGCAGCTCCCTAAGACAGCTTGAAGCCAGCAGCTCCAAGCGCGAAGACGTCCTCAAGACCCAGCTCAGAGCCATGGAGGCCGACAAGCAGCGGAAAGAGGAGGAGCTCTTGTCCTTCCTCAACCAGTACAGGGAGCAGGCCTCGGAGAGCGAGACCAACCTGAGGCTCGCACTGCAGGAGCTGGAGACCAGCAAGAGGGAGACGGAGATGCGGCTGACGGAGAATCTGAGAGAGGCCGAGATTATGAGTGCGCAGAGGGAGGCGGAGTTGACGCAGCAGCTGCAGAGCTTGAAGGCGGAGAAGCAGCAGAAGGAGGAGGAGCTCTTGGCGTTTCTTGCCTCATACGAAGAGGTCCGTGTGTGGATACACCCATCAGTCCATCCACCCGTCCCCACATCTCTCTCTCTCTCTCTGTGTGTGTGTGTGTGTGTGTGTTGTGTGGCATTGCGTGCAGCGGTCTGCGAGTGAGGCTGAGCTGCGGAAGGCCCTTGAGAACCTGGAGGCGTCCAAGAAAGAGAACGAGGAGCGGCTCACCAGAAGCCTCATGGACCTGGAACAGGTAGGTACCCCTTCAACCAACCCACCCACACCACCATGCAGTGCCGTGTGTGTCATTGTGTGATGGTGTGTTGGTGCGATGTGTGCATGTAGGCGTCCGCCGAGAGGGAGGCCCGTCTGCGGACACAGCTGCAGTCCGTGGAGGTGGAGAAGCAGAAGAAGGAAGACGAGCTCCTCGAGTACCTACGCACCTTTGAAGAGGTACGCACCCCCTCCCTCCCTCCCTTCCTCCCTCTCCCACCCTCGCCCACACACATCATGTGTATGCTTTGGTGCATCTGTTCATCGACCAGCGGTCCACCACGAGTGAGGTGAGCCTCCAGTCGGCTTTGAAGGAGCTGGAGGCCTCCAAGATGGAGAGCGAGGAGACACTCATGCGGAGCATCGCCGATCTGCGGGAGGAGAGCGCCCTGAAGGAGCTGAGTCTGCGGCAGCAGCTGGAGCAGCTCGAGGGGGCCAAGCGGCAGAAGGAGGAGGAGCTCGAGATGTCGCTCAAGCTCCTCGAGCAGACCAAGGCTGAGAACGAGGCGATACTGCTGCAAGCCCTCGAAGGTCCTTCACCAACACCCACACCCCGCCTCCCCAGCCACGTCGAAATGCCCGTCTCTCTCTCCCTCCCCCTCTCTCTCTCTCTGTGTGTGTGTTGTTGTGTGCAGCACTGGAGGCCTCTCAGCGAGAGAACGAGCTGACGAGGAACCTCCAAGAGCTGGAGCAGCAGTCGACCCAGTGGGAGACCGACATCCGCAACGAGTTGGGTGGGGTGACGGCCCTCAATGCTTTCGATGCCAGCGAGTCGGACGGCCAGCACACCAAGATCGTCTTCCCCAACAATGCCACTCTAAATGCGGCCGACCAGCACCAGCATTCGGACAGGGCGGACAAGGTGCTCCCCGCCGCCCCTCAGAAGCAGAGGGAGAAAGAGCCCGCTCCCGCTCCTGCCCCCGCACCAAGGCTCAATGGCTACGCTGGCAGCCCACAGCAGCTGCAACACAAACAGCAGCAGGAGAAGAAGCACATGGCGGCCGAGGAGCCGCCCCTATCTCCCCCACCCCCTCCCCGACCACCACCACCTCCACCAGCAGCAGCGGGCGGCAGCAGCCTCAAGCAAGACCAGCCCGGCAAGAAGAGCTGACAGCGCGTTGCTGATGCCCATGGATGGATGGATGGATGGATGGATGGGGCGGTTTTTGCGTTGGTGGTGAGTCGCTATTCCGTTGCCCTGCTGGTGGGCAATCCGACACACGAGCTATCACATCACGTGTTGATGGAGAGAGGGAGAGGGAGGAATGAGTGGGTGCTTTCTGCGACTGGCTGATGGACCTACCGACATACCATACTGCCTACCTACTGTCTCCATTTTTCTCCCTCTCTGGCTGGGCTTGGCTTGGCTTGGCTGCCTTTGTGGTGCAAGTGGGTGTGGGGCGTTTTCTTTGTGAGGCGGGGTGCGGTGTGGTGTGGCGGTCTAGGAGGTTGGTTGACCAGGGTCGCTCTTAATGTGGCAAATTGTGGCGAGCGTGGCGAGTGTGTCTGTTTTTCGCTGTGTGTGGTGTTTGAGTGGTATTTGTCATCGATTTGATAGATATACATCTCTCTCTGTCAGCCTGTCTGAGGTTCGCTGGCCCCTCGACAGCTGGACAGAGGGGGGAGCAAGGACCGCTAGTGCTGTTGTGTCGGCCATACTCGATGGGTGCGTGGTTTTATGACCGTATGTGACGACGCACTCGAGTACCAATGATAGTCGAGTGTGCACCGGGTCGTCGCTGCCTGGCCGCCGGCCGAATTTGCAGATGGCGGAGTCCACCAGCGGAGCATGAAGCGACAGGTGGAGAAAGGATGCCATGTAAGTCGTGTGGTGGCGTCTGGACGGATGGACGGACGAGGGTCTGTGAGCACTCCACATCCACAAGTGCAGACCATCAGCCACGAAAACATCTCGTGCACCTGCTTGCACCACGTGTAAAGGAGGGGCCGATTGGCCTCCACAGACCGATGATCAAGGGTGGAAACGAAATGTCAAAGCCCAGAATCCCCCCATCCCCCCATCCATATAGGTCGGGATCAAAATAATTCACAGCCAGGCCGTTGGGAACAACGGCCAGCTCAGTTGTCTCCTGCCGTCACCGGGGACATAGGCGGCTCGTGAGCGCCAAGGCCGCACTCATCGCACCCCCTCATGGTTCCCCGCCAGCCCCTCAGCGCAAACAGGTCCCCACCATCCGCCGGACCGCTGCAACGACGGAGGGCGACTGTGTTTGACGCAGCTGATGAGACGCCATGCATCCCAGGCATCCTGCCGAGCAGAGCGAGCGGGCAGGTGCTGTGGGGTGGCTATATCTTATCTTCAAAACTCCACCTACAGTATCCCTTGCCGACTGAGCTCATGCATTTCGGGCGGCTGTGCTCCTCAGCAAGAGATGGTCAGCGAGAGATGGAGCTGCAGGTCAAAAGTTCATCCGCTTGTGCACGGTTTTTGTTTTTGTCAGTCAGGGATCGATCAGCAAAAAGGTCATGTCTCCGCAGCAGCAGCAGGGGCACCCCCAACACCTTAGCGGCTGCTCATTTCCCCTCCCTCTCCCCTTCCCTCGGCTTTTCTCATCGATGGCCACCTTCACGCCCTCTCTCTGCGCAACGAGCACTCGGCAGTGACCCAGCCACGGCGGTTGCGGCAATGCAACCTTATCAAGAGGGCCTTCTTCGGTGCCAAAGGAGGAGGATGAATTCATGCGTCTCTCGCCTCCGTGCGCCGCCACGGTGAGGGAGAAAGAGGGGCCGTCTGCATGGCATTCATCCGTGCCATCCGCTGCTGCCTCCTCTCTGCTGCAGTCGTGGATCGATCAACAAAACGGGCAGCACCACCAGCACCAGGAGCCGCAGCAGCAGCGTGCGCCCTCCTCTCCACCGGGAGATTCGTGTCTCTCCGCCCTTTTCCCTCTCCCGCCGCCCTTCTTCTTGACGGCCACCCCACGCTCTCTGTGTTCGCCCAAGACGGCCACCGCTAGGCAGCGGCACAGCCACGGCAGTTAGGGCAATGGAGCATCCGAGGCAGCATCAACAAGGGGACCTCTGAAAAGCAGCTGCAGCGGCGGATGAGGGGAAGGAGGGGCCATAGAGGGCAGCCGAGCGCAAGATGGACGGATGGATGGACGGGTGTGGGACAGAGGAGTTGCCGAGCTGACAAAGAGACACACAGACAGACAGACAATACATAGCAGACAGACAGAGGGATGAGTCGTGTTTGAAGCGTTTTTGTCTTGTGGGCATTGCTCTCTAAGTTTTGTGGCAAGGCCGATGGATGGATGAATGGATGAATGGACAGACACATGGATGTGAATGGGCGGTGTGGCGCTGACATCGAACGAACGAACGAACGAACAAACAAACAAAATCAACTCCACTTCGTCGTTCGAACGAACAAACAAACAAACAAACAAAACGTCAGCCGCCACGCCAAAATGCCCACCCACTCACTCACCTTCGTGGCAAACCCATGCACACCAACCGACGAGGCAGCGGCCGCCAGTGGACGGCCGCTCTCTCATCGGTAGTCCCTGGAAACGGCTGCCACGCACACACACACACACACGCACACAAGGGACAAAGTCGACATGCACTCCCCCACGGCGCCCACAGAGAAAGGTGACTGTTTGTGTGTGGAAGACAGACACGTCCACTGGGCTGTGAACATGTCGACGTGTCCTTAACGCTCTCACGTGCTCGACATTTGTTGCAATGAGGCGAGAACCCTTGACACGAAGCCATGACCATGAAATTGAGTCCGTCATGCAAGCGAACCAGTCACGAACAGCGATGAATGGCTCAGCAGGCAGGCAAGGAACACACAGAAAGGCACTGTCCATCTACACGCACTCACTGTCGTGTGCTCCTCTTCTGCATCTGGCCTGCCTCCTTTCTCCATCTCATTCGTCAAGCCCTCATTCTCGCCAGAACTTGGTCCACTCGCTCTCATCCGCCACTCGAGCCTGCGCTTCTCAGAATCTCCCAAGCTCCTTCTTCCCCTCGTCTCACCTGCGCGCTTCTTCTTTTCTTCGATCGGGAGACGGCCTGCTTCTCCTCGGCGGCCGTCTTTCCTGTCAGCCCTGGATGGGTCTACCCATCGCACTGGATGATCCCTCGCCGAATCAAGGCACGATGTGGCTAAAAGGTTGTCCGAGTCCAGTGCCAGTGACCGGTCAGGCCAGCGGAGAACCCTACTGGACGAATCCCTACCTGCCTTCGAGGGGCAGGTGCGACGCGCGTGCACACCCGTGAGCAGCCTGAGCCAGCCAGGCGTCCCTCTCTCCCTCTCTCACCCCTCTCCCTCTCCAGCCAGCCGTGTGCCATCCCGCGAGCCAGCCAGCCAGCCACCGAGCAGCCAACCAGCGAGGCCCTCTGCCGTCTGTCCGTCCGTCCATCTTCCGTCCGTCCGTCCGTATTCCGTCCGTCCGTCGCGCGATGGGGCGTCATGGTGGTTTTCGTCCTCGGGGTCCTCATGGAGTTTGTCGCCAGCAGCCGGCATCGCCCAAGTTTCAGTGGCGCGAAGTTGTGAAGGTATGTTAAGCGAGGGAGGGTGATGAGAGAGAGAATAGGGAAGGAGAAGGCACGTCGGGAGCCATTGGTGCGGTCTTGATTTTTTGCAGCAGCCAGTCAAGAAGGACCCGCCGACGCCGACTGCCAGCACCACCACCGGCACCGGCAGCGACACGGTGCGCAGAGTGACACACACTTGCAGCCACGCGCACACAGATGCCTGCATGTCTGTCCCTCTGTGTGTGTGTATGTGTGTGTGTGCTCTGATTACGGGGTTTCCAGTTCGGTAAGGACGAGAACGTGAGCACGACACACACACGCTTAACACGAATGAACATCTGATGAATTGCTGCTGTGTGTGGCTGACAGGACTACCCTTCACTGCCTGGCAGCCAGGACGACAAGGAATTCAAGCAGTCGGCCAAGGTATGCAGAAGCGGCACACCCGAAACCAACAGACGTGTACACACATGCGATTGTCCACAGAACAACAAGGGCATGTGGGCCAACGGCCCCCCCAAGAGCAAGCAGCCGACCACCACTGCCACCTCCAAGGTACACACAGCGACACTCGCCAGCACAGACGCCTGCATGGCTGTCCATCAATGTGTGTATGTGGTTCTGTGTATGTGTGTTTGTGTCTGATGATTTCAGAAAGTCGCTGAGTCCAAGGTAAAGCTCTCACACAGAAGTCTGATGATTCGCTGCTGTGAGACATCGACGTATGTTTATCTCTGTGTGTGCAGGAGTGCACCAACGACAAGCACCACCTGCCCATGAAAGACCCTGCTGCCGCCGAGGATGAGGTGCGGAAAGATCGGACATCCACACATACACACACCGACGCACACACCCTTAGATGCCCGAATGACTTTGTCTGTGTGTGCAGAATCCATTCTGGATCGTAACTGCGGAGGGCATCGTGAAGCTGAAGCTGCAGACATCCAAGAAGTTCCACAACACCGCTCGAAAGGTAGACAGATGGGCACACACGTCCACTCATTCACTCATTTCACGCTTTGTGTTGATGTGTGTGTGCAGGTGTGGATGGCCAAGACCGCCTAGACCGCCACCCACCCTCGCACCTACTCACTCCCTGACTGACTGCCGCTGACTGAGTGACTGACATGCCCCCCGCCACCTCGCACACACCCACACCCACACGTAGTTATCTCACTCCCTGACTGACTGACTGAAGGTGTGTGTTGATGGATGGATGGATGCATGGATGGACTGATGGATGGCTTGCCTGCCTGCCGGCTGCGGTCTGAGTGAGAGTGATGTGGGGCGATGCGGTGCGATGCGACGTCTGCTGTGGGTCGCTGAGTGACGTCCGTCGTTGTGCTGTGGGTGACGGTGAATGAGCGATTCTGGTTTGTGGTTTGTCGCCATGGCTTGCTGTGGTGTCCCGGGGCCTGACTGACGTGAGGTGATGTGATGTGATGTGAGCGGTGGCTGGCTGGCTGGCTGGCTGGCAGATAGACGGACGGATGGACGGATGGGTTTTTGGTTGTGAATGTCGGGAGGGAGAGAGGGTCCACCTTCACACACTCAACTCAAACACAAATAGTCGTTCTCTGTCTGTCGACGTGCGGTGCGTGTGATGGGTGCAGTGCGGTGCTGGGAGAGGGTGTGTTGCGGGATGGACGGAGGGAGGGAGGCCACAGACACAGACAGACAGACAGACAGACAGCGGCAGGCAGACAGACCACTAGCTCACTCACCTCACACACAAGGAGATGTGTGAGTGCACCGACGGCGTAGCTGCCCCTGATGTCTGATGTCTGTCTGTTGTCTGCCACGTCTGCCTCGTCCGCCTCGTCCGTTGTATGGCCTCCCCGCCCACCGCACACACACACACTCACTCACTGACTGTGCGCGAGTCTTTTCCGACGAGGCGCACCACACCCACACACCCACTCCCTCACTGACTGACTGACTGACAGGCCCCCCGCCACCTCACCCACACCCACACCCACACGTAGTGATCTCACTTGCCGAGTGACTGACTGAAAGAGTGTGTGCTGAGTGACTGACTGAAAGAGTGTGTGTTGATGGATGGATGGAGTGATGGATGGACGGATGGCTTGCCTGCCTGCCGGCTGCGGTCTGAGTGAGAGTGATGTGGGGCGATGCGGTGCGATGCGATGTCTGCTGTGGGTCGCTGAGTGACGTCCGTCGTTGTGCTGTGGGTGACGGTGAATGAGCGATTCTGGTTTGTGGTTTGTCGCCATGGCTTGCTGTGGTGTCCCGTGGCCTGACTGACGTGAGGTGATGTGATGTGATGTGAGCGCTGGCTGACTGGCTGGCTGGCAGATAGACGGACGGATGGACGGATGGGTTTTTGGTTGTGAATGTCGGGAGGGAGAGAGGGTCCACCTTCACACACTCAACTCACACACAGATAGTCGTTCTCTGTCTGTCGACGTGCGGTGCGTGTGATGGGTGCATCGTCTGTCGGTTTGCTGACTGTCGGCCGCTCGATGGTGAACCGGACACGTTGGGTGTCAATCACCCTTTGTGTCCGGCGGGCATCGAGCGGCTGACAGACAGACAGACTCACACACACAGCGAATGAATGGGCGTTCTTTTTCGGTATGAGAACAAACGGATATGACTGACTCGCGCGTTTGAATGGCCGTTTCCAGCCTATTTGTGTATGGGGGGTTCCGCCTTGGGTGACAACTTCAGTGTTCCGTGAGGGTGAATAGACCAGTTGGTGCGCTTACCTGTAGATCAGATATTTATGTGGATCCTGATAGTCAGGCGAACACACTGATGGATGGATGATGGATGGATGATGGATGGATGATGGATGGATAGATGGGTGAGCGCTTTAGATAGCTGCACTGTGTGTGTGTGTTTGTGTGGCTTTTGGTAGTCAGGCTCAGCCAGCGATCAACCGGTAGCTAGTGCGTCTCTTGACGCAGCAACTTGACGTGCACTTGTGAATGCGTGTGGTCTTGTCAGTGAATGAGTTCCATGTATTGACCAAGTCCCATAGCAGCATCCGTCCACGCACCATCCAGCCATCCATCCACGAGTGCATGAAATCATCAGACGAGTGTCCCGCAGTGATCTATCAATGCCAATGCCGTCCATCCACACACTCTTGATTCTGCAGACGATCGAGCAGGTCATCAGGGCAGCTGCGCACACATTCACGCTGGTGCCGAAGACCATGGCGACGAATGAGGCAATCAAAGCGGCACGACAGCCTGCTGCGCCCTGACACGCACCAGAACGGATGTCACACTGTGCTCTGCCTTCTCACCTCTGGTCTAAGGCCACGCGGATGAATTGAAGCCACATCCGCCCTCTGCCTTGGGCTTAGAGCTGCCTCACTCGATGGCCGTCACGACGCGTGAAGTCCTCAAGCCCTCAAGTTCGCCGTGGCGTCACGGCAAACAAGGCTGGATAGATGGTGACTGCCGAGGCAGCAGCTGAAGGCCGTCTGATGATCTCGGCAGTAAAGTGACCACCGCTGATGCGCCGATGTGGTCAGAAGGTCACGAGAAGCCATCAGATGGATGCAAATCTGGGCAGCATGAGCAACGGATCAAGTGAGCCAGATCTCGTGCGAATCGAGAGGTGACGACCACGCGGCATCTTCTGGAAGGCAGGAGCGGGGGGAATCGCTTTCTCTGAAGCAGCCTCTCTGACAGCGAGCTCGACGTTAGGCGAGCTCCTGGGCGGGCGGGGCTCGGGTTCGGGTTCGCGTTCGCGTTTGCGCTCGCGTTCGCGTTGGGCGAGAACACGCCTGGAGAGGGGAGGGAGGCGTGGAGGAGGGGAAAAAAACGTGCTCGTGTGCAAGCCAAGCGCGCAGACGAGCCGAGGGGGGAAGAGGGAAGGGGGGATAGATGGTAATTCACGGGAGCACGAGCCAATGCTGTCGATTGTTTAGATCTTCGCCTTTCTCTGCCCCCCAGCAGGCTCATGCACCCTCCAGATCCCGTCAGCTCTACTCGGTGGGCAAAGATTCCATCACTGATTGGATGCACAGGGAATGACATTCATTGGCGGAGAGATTCGACCAGTGATCTCTCTCTCGGATTGTGCATGGACGTGGCTCGACGACGCAGACACGGCTGGGGATTGGCTGTGATGACGTGGCTGGTCAGCGGCTGACGGAGCAGCAGCGATGTGGAACAAGAGAGGGTGACTGGAGCGCTCTACTGCGGCAACAGGACTGGTCAGGTCAGCGATGAACAAATGTCCGTGTGTGTGTGATGGTTGCAGTCTTTTCGGCGCAGACGATAGCTGTGTTGGCTCATGAGGCCCTCCACACCAGCCCGCCAATCAGCGTCCAGCGGCTCTGACTATCGCTATCAGCGGCATGGCGCTGCTGCTAGCTGCTGATTCACCAAGCTCGGCTGCCGTCAACTGATTGGCCCCACATCAACGACAGCTGATGTGGGGCTTTGGATGACACTCAGTCTGACTCAGAAAGCGCAGTGTGCGCAAGGCTCTGTTAGATCAGATGAGTGAAGTAGAGAGAGCTGCCGTTTCTTTTTGTGTGCTGGCGATGGCTACCATTGGTGTGGTGGGTTCAACTTTGCTATAGGCTGACATACTGGGTTTATCATTTGAGCACGATCCGGTCCATCCATTGACAAACCACTCACCCACGGAATATAAGATGTAGACAGCGATGATATACCGCACACCACACTCCTCCATCGCCCTCACTCTCATATCAGCATTCCTCCCACACTCTCTCCCTCCCATGCATGCACCCACACACCCGCAAGGGACTGGCAAGCCATTAAACGCTCTCAGTCAGTCCTGTGTCCCATATTGCACAGAAAAATCGTCGGTGTCCCACCCTTGTGTCCCCCCACACGCACAGACAGGATGCTTGTGTGCCCCCACACGCACAGACATGATCCATCCATCATTGCCATCCATGAGTTTGTGTGTGTGTGTGGGCTGACTGCTTGTCGAAAACGACCAGACACGACGACACGTGACAGGGGCGGGGCGATGGCATGTGTGTGGGTGGGCGTAGGGTCTCTCTCTCGGCCTCCCTGCTGCCCGCCCCTATCCATGAAGCGACACGGGTCACCCAGCCATCCATCACCACAACACTGCCTGACGTGCAGCCTGTCTGTCTGTCTGTCTGCCGCGCCACTGAGATAAGGGCGGGCAAAGCAGGCAAAAGCCACACACACACGCGACCCTTAAAAGGGAACACTGGCTCGCCCCGCCATGCACCAGAGGGAGGCTGACTGAGTGGGTGGGAGTCGGGATGGATCACTGGCAGCACAACCACACAAATCGACGCAATGCAATCAATCGGCACAGACCACACCGAACCAAATCATACTTGATCACCCATGCCGCTGTCTGCCATCCCCCCCTCCCCGCCCGACTCACCACGCATCAACACAAAAGAAACGTCAGCCCGGCTGTTCATCCATCCATCCATGCAGCCAGCCAGCCAGCCAGCCAGAAGTGACCCCACACGACTCACATCACCCCGCGATGCAGGCCATCGCACTCCCCCAGTGCAGTTGGCGACATGAGAGAAAGCCCAGCGTGGGGAAAGGCCATTAACGCGAAGGTCTCATTCCCATGGAACCCATGTGTCACTTCTGTCCCTATTGCACAGGTGTGTGGAGTCAGACAGACAGGACGGTGAGAGCGAGCAGTTGCAGTTGCACACAGGTGTGGTGTGAGATACGGACACGCTCGCACGCACGAAAACGCCTTAGCTGGCTGAGTCCTGGCTTTTGTTGTCTCGCGCAAACCGGTGCCCGACAGAAAGAGTGGACTAGACAGACAGACGAAAGGCTCCCTGACCACAGGCAGACATGCCACACACTCGCCACACACGGAGGTGTACCCATCTCTCTTGCAATCAAGCACTACATGTCAAGCCAAAGATCGACCGACGACGGACAGGTAGCGACACGCAAGGCTCTCTCCACGCGATATCTGGATAGAGACGAGATGAAAGGAGATGTCTAGTGTAGCATACGAGTACGTATCTTATGTGGTCGGTGGTGGTGGTGGTGTTGGTCTCTCTGCCTGCCTGCCTACCCCGATCAGTGGAGTGAGACGCGCACGCAGCAGCATGTGTGGGGCACTCGTGCAGCCGCAGAAAAACGCCCGACGCTCAAGGACCAAGCGACTGACAGACGAGACCGGCATAGTAATGGTGAGAGAAAACGGACAGGCCTTACGAAGAAAAGAGTTACGGGGGCGAACATCAGCAAACGGACTGATACACACACACACACACGGAAGAGATCCATCCATGTGGTTGATGTGTGTGGGGGGGAGGGATGGATGCGCTGACGGACTTCGAGCTTGCCAGAGAGGATACGGATCAGCTGCACACACACAGACGCAGACATACACACAAAAAACCATCCATCCTGATGCGACAATTGACACGCTTTTTCTTAAATCATACCCGTGCCGTCTCATGTTCGTCGCGCAGTTGGGCCGCCTTCGCGCGCTTAACGCGGGTCGCCTTGCGCTGCACTCATGACAGCAGATGCATCATAGCTCCACTTCCGTGTACGCGGCAATGGCCGATGTATGTTTCGCCCGAGTACCTGTCGAGCTTTCGTTTTCTTGCGCGACTCCTCGGCGTCCTTGGCCTTGGACTTGGCTGCCTCTCCCTCCTTGTCGTCGAGCTGCTGAGTGATCTTCTCAAGCAGCTTGGCGAACCGGTCGACGTCCTCCTCGTGACGCTTCCTGCGGCGGTCTTTGCGCTCCTTGAGCTCCTCTTCGGTCTGCGAAAAAATGCACGAATGAGGAGTGAGGCAACCCACATCCACGCTCCACTCACCGATTCGGGCACGCATGACAGCAATGCACACACACCTTGGCGAACTCACCTGCCTCTCGCTCGTGGCTTTTCTGTCTGCGCTGTTCCTGCTCCACTCGCCGGACCGTCTTGGTCTTCGCTTGTGCCATCACTCTTGCCTGAATGATCGTCTTCATGTGTATACTTACGTTCCAGTGGTTGCTCAGCTGCACACACACACGTGAAAAGAGAGAGAGAGAGAGAGAGGCGTTACTAAGTCGGCTGAGTGGCTTCGTTCTACTGACCTTTTCAGATGCGACAAGCTACAGGTTTTGTTTTATACCCTCTCCGTTTCCTTTTCCTCTCGCAACTTGGTCGCCTTAGCACGCCGTCGCCTTGTGCTGCAGTCATCACAGCGGGTGCATCATAGCTTAGTACCTGGCGGGTTTTGGCGTTTTTGATGGCCTCCTGCTCTTCCTTGATGGGCTCCTCATCGCCTTGGCTGCCTCCTCTCGACTGTCAAGCTCCTCGTTGATCGCCCTTAGCATCATCTCGAATCAGTCCAAGTGCTCCTTGCGCTTCACCTTGATCTCCTGTTCCGTCGAATGCACACTGATGAGGAGTGAGGCGGCCTACATCCACGCTCCACTCACCGGCTCGGGCATGTCCTCATCGAGTACCGCAGCCACGTCCTGCGCCACGGACAGAGGCAGAAAAACACAAGCCCCCGAAGTGCCTTCCTCCAATTCCCTCGTCCCTTTCCCGCAGTCCCCGTCATTGCGTACCTTGGTCGTCCTCTTGTAGAGGATCTTCTTGAAAGACTTCGTCATCATCGAAGCGGTTGAGCAGGTCCTGATATAGCAGGCTTGTCTCCGATACACATACAGTCCTCTCTCTCTCTGTGTGTGGATGGCTACCGACGTCTCAGCCTTGACTGGAGCCGGCACCTTGATGCCCTCATCACGTTCTGACACACACACATACACACACTGTGTGTGGTCTGTGAAGGTGTGTGTGTGTATAGCTAGAAATTCGGCACCGACATACAGATTGGAGACATATGAGCAGTGTCTGCAGTGTCTCACTCGTACCATCCAAAGTGCAGATCGAGCCACGGAGACACGGCCACCGATATAAAACGTAGCCAGCGATCCGCACAAGGAGTCCTGGGACAACCTCCACTTGAAGATATTTGGGATCGCTGGGCAAAATAATCAGCTTGAATGCGGTCTGCAAAGAGAGACAGGAAAGAATCAGCGCCATTCGATCATCGCATGTCAGCACCTACTCGTGAGACACAGCTGCTGCTGTGGGGATGGGAACAAGACGTCGATCGGAATATAAAATGTAAACAGCGATCTGGACACCGAATACAAAACGATGAGACATGAGCAGGCCTATGAATCGACATGTCTTGGCCCTTGTCACCCTTGTGTCCCCACGGCGCAGCTGGGGGCAGTTGGCGCGGATCTTGGGCACCCAGACCTGCACACACATTCCCACACAAAGCGTGGAATGAGTGACTGTGTGATGTGTGTGTCCATCTGCGCACCTTCTTCTGTGCGGTCGGCTTGAGCTCTTTAGTGTGGGTGGCGACCACGGGTGCTGGAACGATGTAGAAACGCGGATCCTGCACACACAGATAGCCATGTCCGGCATGTAAGGGTGTGTGCGTCGGGGTGTGTGTGGATGTCCGATCTTTGTGTACGTTTTTGGCAGCAGCAGCGAACTCGGTGAGCTTAGGGCACTGCTGCCAGCCATGGCCCGGTTGACCGCAGCAGAAGCACTTCTTCGTCTGCACACACATTGATATGCGCAGAGAGACACGCAGACGATGTGGTGGCTGGATGGATGCGTATGTGTGTGTGCTGCCTGCCCACCTTGTGCGGGTCATCAAGTAAGTCAGTCAACGCGTCAACAGACAGGGTAGGGTTCACTCATCATATGAATGACACGACAGACCGACCACCTCACGCCACCCCACCCCATGCCATTGCACCAAGCCAGTCAGACGACTCACGGGCAGACAAGGCATGCCATCCATCCATCATCCATCCATCCATCCATGTGTCCACAAGGCAGGCAGTGGATAGAGTGAGTGGTCATGTGTGTCTGTGTGTGTGGTGAAATGTGGTGTCATTCAGATGCTTCGGGGAAGGCAGCATGTGTCTGTCTGAGTGAGTGAGAGGTCCACAGTGGGTGGGTTGTGATCTCTCCCTCTGTCCAGCTCAACTATCATATCATACAGGCACCCAACACGACACGCGTGTGCACGTACGGCCCCTCCCTCCCTATCTATCTCTCTCTGTGTGTGTCTGGCTGTAATGCGCGTGTGAGGCAGGCAGGCAATCAGTCAACGCGTCAACGACAGGGTAGGGTTCACTCATCGCGACCTCACTGCACCAAGCATGCCATCCACCCGTCCACCCATATGTCTGTCTACCGATCTATCTCATGTGTGTCTGTGTCCCCACCCTGTGAGATGGGGATAAGCGCAAAGCAGGCCTTCCTCCCTCCCTGCCTCCCTGCTGCCTTCCCGCATCCATCCATTCATCCGTCAGTCATCCACAGAATCAATCAGGTCACGCAAAGCCCGCCATCCTGCCCAATGCCATCCCGTCGATCCATTCGACGACACACGCACAAGTAGTGTGGTGGGGTGGAGTGCGTGGGGGTGGGCAGTATAGGATAGGCGGAAAGAGGTGAGAGACAGAGGCGAGAGACATGACTGCGAAGAAGCGAAGATATGCCGACAAATATAAACTGAGCAAATCTTGATTATCACCTCTTTTGTGTCTCCCTCACTTCCATACCTGTGGGGCCGCCGGGGGCAGACCAAATGGATGAAGTAGGTAGGCGCATCGGAGATGTAAGAGGGAGACAGCGACATCCATCTGCACACACAGACACGGGACACTTACACATGACTTGATCAGTACAGAATACTTCGACAGCTGACCTTTGCTGTGCAAACGGCGGGGCAAGGCAGTGCGGCTAAAGGGGTCGTCATCCGTCGGTCAAATATAAAATGTAGCCAGCGATCTGCATACCACCCAGCCACAGAAAGGAGAGAAGAGAAGACAAGTCTTTTCGTGGTTGAGCCACTTCTCCTGAGACGGCACAGGTCAACACAAGAGACACGTGTCTACCGATGGATCGGCGTCCTTTGGCGGCTCACACATGATGCGAAGCGGCGGAGGGGAAAATATGCCCATCGAATATAAAATGTAAGCAGCGATGGGCCGCCTGTAGACAAACAGGCCGGTGGGCATACAGACGAGTTCGGCGGTCTGCTCTGCGCACCTACTGCGTGGCCTTGGCGGCGTCGGGCCTAGGCGTTCTTGGGCATCCACTTCTACGCACATACACCGACACACAGCGTAAAAGGAGTGAATGAGTGGACGTGTGTGCCCATCTGTCTACCTTCTTCGGTGCCTTGAGCTTGAGGTTGACGACTCCCTCCGCAGTGATGATCCAAAACGGGTTCTGCCACAAACACACAAATAGCCATGTCGGGCATGTAAGGGTGTGTGCGTCGGTGTGTGTGTGTGGATGTCCGATCTTTGCGCACCTTGGTCTGGGGAGGAGCCGGGCAGTCCCGCGCGAAGTGGGGGAGCATGGCGTACCTTGTTCGTCTTGGCAGTGGTCTTGGTCTTCGTGGGAGCCTCGAACACACACACCAACACACAGTATGTGAAAGCAAATGAATGAGTGACTGTGTGATGTGTGTCCATGTCCGCACCTTCTGTGTGGTCGGCTTGGGCTTCGTCGTGTGGTTGGGCTTCATCGTCTGGGCGGTCTGGGCGGTCTTCGCACCCGGGGCAGGGACTATGTAGAACCGCGGGTCCTGCAGACACAGAAAGCCATGCCGGGCATGTAAGGGTGTGTGCGTCGGTGCGTGTGTGGATGTCCGATCTTCGCGCACATTCTTGGCGGCCTCGGCGGCATCGGTGAGCTTGGGGCACTGCTGCCATCGATGGCCTGGTTGGCCGCAGCAGAAGCACTTGATCGTCTGCACACATTGATATGCGCACACAGAGATATGTAGGCAATGTGGTGGCTGGGTGGATGCGTGTGTGTGTGTGTGTGTGTGCTGCCCGCGCACCTTGTGGCGGCAGTTGTTGTCCAGGTTCAACTTGGTCAACTCGTGGTGGCGGCCGCACTCCTGCACACACACGCATAGACACACTTCGATGTATCACAGCAGCGAATCGCCGGACTTCCGTGTGTGTGTGTGCTTTACCTTGTTCTCCTGGGTGTCGTGGAATCATCAGATATACACACACATACACACATACACACACACACACACACATGGCCATAGACAGCCATGGAGGCATCTGTGTCCGTCAGTGTCACTGTGCGTACCTTGGTGCTTGTCTTGGCAGTGGTCTTGGTGGTGGCGGTCTTGGTGGGAGCCTCGAACACGGCCTTCGACGGCTTGTTCCACTTGCCCTGTGCACAGTTGCATGTGTGCACACGTCTGTTGGTTTCGGGTGTGTCACTTCTGCATACCTTGTCTCGTGGCGGCGTCATGAACTCGTCAACTTTGGTGCCCGGCAGCATGGGATAGGCCTGTCAGACACACACAGCCACAATTCATCAGATGTCCCTTCGCCAAGTGTGTGTGTGTCGTGCTCACCTCCTTGTCCTTGTCGAACTGGAAACCCCGTAATCAGAGCACACACACACACACAGACACACACACACACAGACAGGCACAGGCATGCAGGCATCTGTGTGCGCGTGAATGCAAGTGTGTGGCACTCTGCGCACCTTGGTGTCGGTGGTGGTGGTGGTAGTGGTGCTAGCCGTCGGAGACGGCGGGTCCTTCTTGACCCACTGCGACAGATCAAGACCGCAGGGACAGCTCTTGACATGCCTCCTTCTTCCCTGATCTTCCCTCATCACCCTCCCTCGCTTCGCATACGTGCTTCTCGCATCGCTGACGACCACTTCCACGAGGAAAGTGCCCATGACGTTGACCATGACGTCCCATGGCTGGCTGGCTGGATGGATGGATGGGTGGATGGATGGACGGATGGCAGAGGGCGAGAGAGGGGCGCCCGAGGAGAGAGAGAGAGCGAGGCTGGCTGCCTGGCTGGCTGGCTGGCTGCTGGCTGGCTGCTGCGCCTCGACGCAGCGGCAGGTGGCGAGCAGGCAAGCAGGCAGGGAGGCACGGGAGGCAGGCAGGGAGGCAGGCAGGGAGGCAGGCAGGGAGGCAGGCAGTGGCGGAAAGGCAGGGAGGCAGGCTGCTGGCTGCTAAAAGGGCGGCACACAGGGCGTGCCAAAGGCGCTCCCCAATACGGCCTTGAAGGGGTGCTCCCACTTGCCCTGTGGACAGTCGCATGTGTGTACACGTCTTTTTGTTTCGAGTGTGCCATTCCTGCATACAATGTCGGCGCTCAACACTGGGTTGTCCTGGGAGCCCGGCAACATGGGATAGTTCTGTCAGACACACACAGCCACAACTCATCAGATCTCCGTTCGTCAACTGTGTGTGTGTGTCGTACTCACCTCATCCTTGACGAAGTCGGAACCCTGTGACCAGAGCACACACACACACACACACACAGAGACACACAGACGTGGACAGGCATGAACAGGCATCTGTGTGCGTGTGACTGCAAGTGTGTGGCATTCTGCGCACCGTGTCGGTGTCGGTGCTTGTGGTCGTGGTGGCCGTGGGTGTGAGCGGCTCCTCCTCCTTGATAGCCTGCGAAAGATCAAGACCGCAGGAACGGCTCTCTCGACATGTCTCCTCCTTCCCTATTCTCTCCCTCATCACCCTCCCTCGCTTCACGTACCTTGACAACTTTGCGCCACTCTTGACGCTGAGGTGTGGCCTGGGGACGACCACGCTGACGACGCTGAGGAGCACGAGCCATGGGCCAAGAAGGAGGCCATGTTCGAGCAGGTAGGAGGGAGAGGGAAGGCGGGCCAATGGCTGCCAACAACCTCCGCTGCCCTGTCTTTCAGGAGCTGTTGCGTGTGTGCCGGGAGAACTCGGAGATCAACAAGGTAAGATCATCGACCTGAACACATGCCAATCTGAATGCCGTGTGGTGTGGGCGCAGGAGCTGGCGGCCGCATGGGCGATGTCGGAGGGAGACGGCGATCCATCTGCACACGCAGACACGGGACACTTACACATGACTTGATCAGTGAAGAATATTTTGACAGCTCACCTTCGATGTGCAAACGGCCAGCAAGGCAGTGCGGCTGAAGGGGTCGTCATCAGTCGGTCAAATATAAAGTGTAAGCAGCGATTTCAGGCCTGCAGACAAACAGGCCGGTGGGCAAACAGACGAGTTCGTCGGTCTTGTGCACCTACTGTGTGGCCATGGCGGCATCGGGCTTGGGCACCTTCGACACCCACACCTACACACACCGACACTCAGCGTGAAAGCACACGAGTGAATGAGTGGATGTGTGTGCCCATCTGCCTACCTTCTTTGGTGCCTTGAGCTTGAGGTTGACG